GACTTATACCAAGGACGAAAGTAACCAAACTAGGCGTGGGGGTTACGAACCGGCTACTTATCAGTGAGTGAGCAGTTATTTTTCAGTATATATATATGTATGCTTGACGTTTTTCCCAGAAAACGTATTTTAAGGAAATGTGATTTAATTATCCTATCATATATACATCATATTTTAGAATGTGCATTATTATAATTATGCATATTGTTGCATGGTGCTGAGGAGGCCCAGGTAAGCTACATGTGAGTATATTATGCTGGTAACGATGATGAGATACGATGTTGGTTATGATTGAGATATGATGAGATACGATGTTGGTTATGATTTAGCTACGATGTTGGTTATGATTGAGAGCTCATTCACTTGCACACGTATATTAGTGCTCCCGCCCAGAGTTAGGGGCACAGTCTTTCACGTGATGTTCACCTCCCGCACCGCATGCTCGCCTTGGATCCAAGTTAGGTGCACAGTCCTGTCGTGTAGACCACTTATGTGGGTTCGACTCGTAGGTGACCCGCGATTTATCGCACAGTCTTCACGTGATTGTAGCACTAGAGCATATTATGTTATATACAGTGATGAATTGCAGACCATGTGAGGTGGTAGTGAATGTGTGCAAGATATACATATATAGACATGATGTGATGAGATGATTATGAGCTATATGTGCAGCTGAAGGCTGAGTTGATTATAATGAAAGAGTATGAACTATGTTTATAGCCGAGTGCTGAATTGATTATATGTTATTCCATCATATTCACTTAGAGATAACGAGCATTTAGTTATGATACTTTGCCATGACATACATTCATATTGTCTAGCATGATTTGAGATATAGTACGTATATGAATATATACTTTATTTATGGGAAACTATACTTGTTTTACGGCGAGGGGTTAGTATATTCAAAGAGAAAATAAGGTTTTGAAGAAGTTTGTTTTGCTGACCCACTCAACTTTGTTTGTGCCCCTCCAGGTTCTAGGTAGCATTTGTTGTTGGATCTCGAGGTTTCCAGCTGAAGTTCTGACAAACCATCACTCATGTAGGATTATCTTCGAGTGTTGTAAATTAGTACATCTTATGTTCGACTGCACTTAGACCTTGTGCTCTGGTTGTGTATTCACACTTAAACTTATCTTAGAACCTATGGAATTTGGTTTTGAATTATTCGTACTTTCCTTAAAATATCGCTTCCGCACTGCGCACATGGCTACGTCACGCTCACGTGACGGCCAGCATGCCTTGACTTCGGTCGGGGTGTGTCAGTTTGGTATCAGAGCTCTAGGTTGCAGTCCTGCATATTTTGTGAGCTTCCCTAATTATTTTTTGGTATCTTCTGTCACAACCTGACACACCCCGACCGAAGTCAAGGCATGCTGCCCGTCACGTGAGCGTGACGTAGCCATGTGCGCAGTGAGGAAGCGATATTTTAAGGAAAGTACGAATAATTCAAAACCACATACCATAGGTTCTAAGATAAGTTTAAGTGTGAATACACAACCAGAGCACAAGGTCTAACTGCAGTCGAACATAAGATGTACTAATTTACAACACTCGAAGATAATCCTACATGAGTGATGGTTTGTCAGAACTTCAGCTGGAAACCTCGAGATCCAACAACAAAAGCTACCTAGAACCTGGAGGGGCGCAAAACAAAGTTGAGTGGGTCAGCAAAACAAACTTCTTCAAAACCTTATTTTCTCTTTGAATATACTAACCCCTCGCCGTAAAACAAGTATAGTTTCCCATAAATAAAGTATATATTCATATACGTACTATATCTCAAATCATGCTAGACAATATGAATGTATGTCATGCCAAAGTATCATAACTGAATGCTCGTTATCTCTAACTGAATATGATGGAATAACATATAATCAATTCAGCACTCGGCTATAAACATAGTTCATACTATTTCATTATAATCAACTCAGCCTTCAGCTGCACATATAGCTCATAATCATCTCATCACATCATGTATATATATGTATATCTTGCACACATTCAATACCACCTCACATGGTCTGCAATTCATCACTGTATATAACATAATATGCTCTAGTGCTACAATCACGTGAAGACTGTGCGATAATTCGCGAGTCACCTACGAGTCGAACCCACTAAAAGTGGTCTATACGACATGACTGTGCACCTAACTTAGATCCAAGGCGAGCATGCGGTGCGAGAGGTGAACATCACGTGAAAGACTGTGCCCCTAACTCTGGGCGGGAGCACTAATATACGTGTGCAAGTGAATGAGCTCTCAATCATATCTCAATCATAACCAACATCGTAGCTCAATCATATCTCAATCATAACCAACATCGTATCTCATCATATCTCAATCATAACCAACATCGTATATCATCATCGTTACCAGCATAATATACTCACATGTAGCTTACCTGGGCCTCCTCAGCACCATGCAACAATATGCATAATTATAATAATGCACATATATATATATATATACTGAAAAATAACTGCACACTCACTGATAAGTAGCCGGTTCGTAACCCCCACACCTAGTTCGGTTACTTTCGTCCTCGGTATAAGTCTCACCTATAAAAGAATAATTATACAAACATCATTTAAACGCACATACACAACATTCGTTAATAACTTCTCATATATTGCTCAATTTGGATATGTGAATATACCACCGTGACCTATACGACGTCACGAACACGTAGCAATTTTTAGAACAATTTTTGGGCCACTAACGCGCCCCCACGCGCCAGGAAGGGCACGGGTCCACGCGCCCCCACGCGCGTCTTCTTCCTCAACTCGCCGGACTGGTTCGCCGGTTTCTGGGCAGTTTTTCAAATTGCCATAACTTTGTCATTTCTCAACGAAATCAAGTGATTCAAAAACGAAAGTTGTATCCCTTGAAGAGAAAAAGAGAATTGTACCTCATAAAACACCTAGCTCACCGTGGTTTGACCGGAAACGTCCTTGAAAGCCTCGGAGGTCGCCGGAAACTGGGTATTTTTCAAAACGTCATAACTTCTTCATTTCTTCACCATTTTCAACGTACTTTATATAAAAATGAATATATTGACGAGATGAACACATTCATACCTACCTCGACACCTAACTCCCCGGGGATTCACTGGAAAAAGCCTCGAAATCTCCGGTCAAACTTTGAACTTGTCGATCTCCGTGTTCTTACGTCCAAAAACTTCCAACGAACTACCCCGAGCCTCCTAAGGACCTCAAGAAGCTTCCTATAAGATTGAAAAGTCCTAAAAATCAACCAATAAAAGTTGATGAATAGTACCCAATTCGGTGCTCGTGATTTCGACGTGAAAACGTTAGAGATCTTACCTGAAATAGGTATGGTTGGACTCGTATCGTCGAGACGAAGACGATGGTGATTTTATTTTCTTCGATCTATGAAGATTTGAGAGAGTTCTAATGTTGGTCCGTGTGTTTGGTCGTGTGGTTTGAGAGGGACGGAGAGTGAATGAGAGCTTGAGAGATTGAGAGAATGAGTGAGAGGACAAGGTTGAGGAAATCACGGATTAAAGAAAGTAAAAGGGAAAATGAATGATTTCTGTAAGCCCCGTGAGGGCATAGGATTCCAAAGTTTAATCATTCAAACATATACGGCCGAAAACGTCCCTATCCGTCCATTATCAACCAACTTTAAAAAGAATTAGGATAATTAAACACACTTCACATAAACGAAAGTGTTAATGCGGGACGGGCTGTCACAACCTACCCTCCTTATAAAAATTTCATCCCCGAAATTTACACAATCAAAATACAACACTAATAATCATAAAATAATCTCGGATACATCTCTCTCATCCGATCATTTGTTTCCCAAGTAGCCTCTTCCACCGAGTGGTTCCTCCACAAGACTTTTACCAACTGCACTGTCTTATTTCTCAGAACTTTCTCTTTCCAATCCAAGATAGTCACTGGTTCTTCATCATAAGTAAAATCCGGGCTAATCTCCAAAGGTTGAATTGGAATCACATGCGATGGATCTGCAACATAATGACGAAGCATTGAAACATGAAATACATTATGCACTTTAGACAGCTCTGAAGGTAACTCAAGCCTGTAAGCAACTTCACCAACTCGCTCGTTGATCTGATAAGGTCCGATGTACCTAGGGCTCAGCTTACCCTTTTTCCCGAACCTTACTACTCCTTTTCACGACGATAGCTTCAAGAATACCCAATCATTAACCTTATACACTCGATCAATAGCATGCTTGTCTGCTAAGCTCTTCTGCCGATCCTGGGCCACTTTCAAATTAGACTTAATTACTTGAACATTCTGAGTAGTCTCGACAGGATTAGCAGCAGTTTCAGAATCATATCGAGACAAATCGGTAAATTTCCGATAGTACTCATTAGCAGACATCTTTCTTTGCTTCAAACTGACGAATTCCTGCTTCTTCCGGTCAAGATAGGCTGGAGGAATAAACCTCTTATAGAACGAATCCTTAAAATTCTTCCAGTTTGCTACCTCTTCAGGCAACCATCCACGAGATTCTTGTTCCCACCAAGATGCAGTCTCTTTACCCAAAAACCAAGTGGTAGTCTCAACCCACCTTTCAGCAGGGAGATTGCCTTGACTCTGCATAACCCGAAAAGTCTTCTCTATATGCTCAAGCCATCACTCGGCCCCTTCATGTCTTTCATTACCCATAAAAGTAGGTAATTTCAAATTGTACACTGCCTTTAAAGGAGTTTTCTGAGAAGGGCGAAGTGAAGCTGGAATGGCATTGGCTATGGCTTCCCCTAACTGAGCGATATCGGGAAAACCAGGCTCAGAAGAAGTACGTGGATCTCTACGAGGCGGCATAGTTCTGACAGAAGATACCAAAAATAATTAGGGAAGTTCACAAAATATGCAGGACTGCAACCTAGGGCTCTGATACCAAACTGACACACCCCAACCGAAGTCAAGGCATGCTGGCCGTCACGTGAGCGTGACGTAGCCATGTGCGCAGTGCGGAAGCGATATTTTAAGGAAAGTACGAATAATTCAAAACCAAATACCATAGGTTCTAAGATAAGTTTAAGTGTGAATACACAACCAGAGCACAAGGTCTAAGTGCAGTCGAACATAAGATGTACTAATTTACAATACTCGAAGATAATCCTACATGAGTGATGGTTTGTCAGAACTTCAGCTGGAAACCTCGAGATCCAACAACAAACGCTACCTAGAACCTGGAGGGGCGCAAAACAAAGTTGAGTGGGTCAACAAAACAAACTTCTTCAAAACCTTATTTTCTCTTTGAATTTACTAACCCCTCGCCGTAAAACAAGTATAGTTTCCCAGAAATAAAGTATATATTTATATACGTACTATATCTCAAATCATGCTAGACAATATGAATGTATGCCATGGCAAAGTATCATAACTGAATGCTCGTTATCTCTAAGTGAATATGATGGAATAACATATAATCAATTTAGCACTCGGTTATAAACATAGTTCATACTCTTTCATTATAATCAACTCAGCCTTCAGCTGCACATATAGCTCATAATCATCTCATCACATCATGTATATATATGTATATCTTGCACACATTCACTACCACCTCACATGGTCTGCAATTCATCACTGTATATAACATAATATGCTCTAATGCTACAATCACGTGAAGACTGTGCGATAAATCGCGGGTCACCTACGAGTCGAACCCACATAAGTGGTCTATACGACAGGACTGTGCACCTAACTTGGATCCAAGGCGAGCATGCGGTGCAGGAGGTGAACATCACGTGCAAGACTGTGCCCCTAACTCTGGGCGGGAGCACTAATATACGTGTGCAAGTGAATGAGCTTTCAATCATATCTCAATCATAACCAACATCGTATCTCATCATATCTCAATCATAACCAACATCGTAGCTCAATCATATGACTCAATCATATCTCAATCATAACCAACATCGTATCTCATCATATCTCAATCATAACCAACATCGTATCTCATCATCGTTACCAACATAATATACTCACATGTAGCTTACCTGGGCCTCCTTAGCACCATGCAACAATATGCATAATTATGGTAATGCATATACTAAAATATGATGCATACATAACAGGTTGCTTAAATTGTATTTCTTTTAAAAATACGTTTTCTGGGAAATACGTCAAGTATACGTATATATATATATATATATATACTGAAAAATAACTGCCTACTCACTGATAAGTAGCCGGTTCGTAACCCCCACGCCTAGTTTGGTTACTTTCGTCCTCGGTATAAGTCTCACCTATAAAAGAATAATTATACAAACATCATTTAAACGCACATACACAACATTCGCTAATAACTTCTCATATATTGCTCAATTTGGGTATGTGAATATACCACCGTGACCTACACGACGTCACGAACACGTAGCAATTTTTAGAAAAAAATTTGGGCTAATCACGCGCCTCCACGCGCCGAGAAGGGCACGGGTCCATGCGCCCCCACACGCGTCTTCTTCCTCGGCTCGCCGGACTGGTTCGCCGGTTTCTGGGCAGTTTTTCAAATTGCCATAACTTTGTCATTTCTCAACTAAATCAAGTGATTAAAAAACTAAAGGTGTAGCCCTTGAAGATACAAAGAGAATGGTACCTCACACAACACCTAGTTCACCGTTTTTTGGCCGGAAACGTCCTCGAAAGCCTCGGAGGTCGCCGGAAACTGGGTATTTTTCAAAACGTCATAACTTCTTCATTTCTTCACCATGTTCAATGTACTTTATATCAAAATGAAGATATTGACGAGACGAACACATTCATACCTACCTCGACTCCTAACTCGCCGGGGATTCACTGGAAAAAACCTCGAAAGCTCCGGTCAAACTTTGAACTTGTCGATCTCCGTGTTCTTACGTCCAAAAACTTCCAACGAACTACCCCGAGCCTCCAAAGGACCTTAAGAAGCTTCCTATAAGCTTGAAAAGTCCTAAAAATCAACCAATAAAAAGTTGATGAATAGTACCTAAATCGGAGTTCGTGTTTTCGACGTGAAAATGTTGTAGTTCTTACCTGAAATTGGTATGGTTGGACTCTTATCGTCGAGATGAAGAAGATGGTGGTTTTATTTTCTTCGATCTGTGAAATTTTTTAGAGTCTTGTTGTTTTGCCGTGAGTGTAGAAAGAGAGAGGGAGTGAGAGAGAGCTTGAGAGTTTGTCGGGAGAGATAGAGAGAATGAGTGAGAGGACAAGGTTGAGGAAATCACGGATTAAAGAAAGTAAAAGGGAAAATGAATGATTTCTGTAAGCCCCGTGAGGGCATAAGATTCCAAAGTTTAATCATTCAAACATATACGGCCGAAAACGTCCCTATCCGTCCATTATCAACCAACTTTAAAAAGAATTAGGATAATTAAACACACTTCACACAAACGAAAGTGTTAATGCGGGACGGGCTGTCACATAACCCATTTTGACCCGTTAAGAACAAATTTATTTTGATAATTTTAGAGTTTAATTACTAAAAGATTTATTATAAAATACAATAGCCATATTAATATATACAATATATTCTATATTAAATATATAGTTTTGTATTATTATTCTATATAAGTTTAAAAAAAAAAGTTTTAGTCATTATTTATTTTTATTATGAGAGTTCCTTATTATCATTACTAGAATAAATTTTACTTAACATGTTGTTTTCCAAAATTAAAATAAACTATAGGCAAGAATTAAGAAGATATACATACAAGTACAAAAAATGTGAAAGAATATATAAACACTCGTGATTTATCATTATTCATCCACGAGTAGATAATGGTTACACTTACATTATCGTTTAGATTTTTAAAATCCTCCAAACCTTCATGAATAATGTTTTTTATTTGAGGGAAAAATTAATAAAATTAATAATAATTATTCTAGAAGTGTAAATGTAAAAAAAAAAAAAAAATACAATCACTCATAGTGACAAACTTTACAACTTTCATGAAGGGATTAGCTTCGAAATCCAACATTATAATTCATAAACCTTAAATTTATATTTAACCGTCAATTGCTATTTACGTTTTATTCTTCTTACTGAATTTCATTTTTAAAATTTTCTTTTTTGAAAACATGATCATATGGCGGATGTAAGAAGATGAACGGTTCAGATCTTTGATATCACGTTTCAATATTTACGGTTAACTGAAATATGAGTCGATGTCATATAGTTTGTAGAAACTTTATAAACATCAAACAATATTTTCACTAACCGTAAAACTCTGAATATAATATCAATGATCCAAATCGTTCATCTCCCTGCATCCTTTAATAGATCAAGTTTTCAAAAAAGAAAATCTGAAAAAAAACAAAATTTGATGATAACAATGAAGCGTAAATGTAAACAACAATCAACGGTTAAATTTTGATCTATGATTTATATGATTATAGTGGCAAATTTCGAAGTTAAGATCTTCATGAAAGTTGTAAAGCTTGTCATTACGAGCGTTTATATATTTTTTTACACATCTACATTAATTAAAAAACTATTCAAGACTTTAGGTAAGTGAAAATATACTTAAAAGAAAAATGTGTTTTATGTTTTGGATGTGACAATATGGTATGTATATACTTATTTAGTATTATGTTTTTCATTTGATTATTTATTGGTTTAAAATATATTTTCCTTAACGGGTAACGGGTCGAGTCATATTACCTGTTAATATTATCGGGTCGATTTCAGATCGGATCATTTTACTCGTTTATTTTAACGGGTGTTATACGACACGACCCGTTAAGATATCGGGTATGACACGAAAACGACACGAACACGGAAAACACGACACGAATGCTAGGTCTATGGGAGAGGGCAAGCGGGAGTCCAAGGCCTGAGTGTCTGAGATGGAGTGATGCAAGGCTGACGTCAGCCACGTTATAAAAAATTTTGTGTCAGGCATGTGGGCGCGTCTCGGGTAGATTTTTAGATGATGGAGCTCGCGTGTCAGCCCCACTCAGTCACTTTGAATCTGGACCATTTGATTTCCAGATCAACGGTTCAGTTTTTCAGCTTTAAATTTTTTTTAGAAAAAGAAAAAGAATAAAAAATGTTTGGGTGGGCCACACATGTCTCATGTTGGACTGTTGGATTTCAAAATTTTGTATTTCAACGGTCCAGATTAATTAAGTTATTAATTTTTTTAAAACTAATTAACAATCCGAAAAAATTTAAAAAAAATTATAATGTTTTTTTTATTAATACCTTACCATTTTCTTGCACTTTACACTACATTTCAATATTTTCAATGATTCTAAAAAGGTAACGACATGTGGTGCTATAGAATTGGATAAAAATCAATCACAAAAAAATGTACTTTCGAATAATGACACGTAAAGTAATGAGGCCAGTTAAAAATCTTATCCGAAATTACAAATAAAATTATTTTTTATTATTTTATAAAATAAAAAATATTAACATTTTATTGCCTATTGCTATGACTATTTAATTTAAGGATGAAGGTGCAAAAGACAATTATTATTGATTAAAGACAGTTACTATTCGGAGGATTCAATTGTCAATTGCCAATTGCCATGAAGGATCTTCCTACACTACACTGGGATTCAATTGTCATACCCGATATCTCTCTCTTTGCAACCAACGTCAGTGGAAAGCACCCACCCCCTCTCTAGCTCCTACCCTTCCCATCAACCCTCTTGCCTCTTACTGTGCAAACCCTAAACTCGATGTCACCCTCTGCCTCTTCGCACGATCTCCTTGACGAGATCGAAAGCAACCTAACGGGTTGGGCCTTTGCTAACTAAAAATTTAAGCCCAGGGAACACATAATGGGCGGCCCAAAACAACCCACCCGCAATTTCAGCCCCAATTTAATGGCTTCTTGTAAATAAAGTGAAATCGAAGGGCGAAATTGTGACTGTAGCTAAGCTACAGCCAATCCCCTTCAGACTTTAGAATAGATAATGGTACTTCCTAGTAAATTTTATGCTCACAAGAGCAACACAAATTGGTACAATTGAACCCCACCAATAATAGTAATTTACGGTAACTTCTCTAACTAACTATCATTGTGATAAAAATCCCCGCCTAGGCGATAGGCAGTTGGCCACAATCCTGGTTAATCTCTAGGTGTTGAAAATTAACAAAGGGCGTCTAGACTTACTTAGGCGCCCGCCTAATCCGTCTAGACCTGCCTAAGTCACGGCTCATTTAGACAAAAAATAGATAACTTTGATTTTGCATGTTTTTTTTTAATAAATTGTAAGAGTTTATTTTTTTAACAGCAATTGTAAGAGACTTATTGATTACTTATGAAAACACATTATATGCTTGTTTCTCATGTTTTCATTATATTTCAATACTTTATAATATATATATATATATCATTTTATTTTGCAGTTTATGATAAAATTATATATTTTTTAAGTATAAGCAGACACTTATTATACAATATATAATAGATTTACTTAAATCCGCCTAATCTTCTTAGGCCTCCGCCTAGCCACCTAGACCTAGCGTAGGCGTTAGGCCTCAGTCCGTCGTCCGACTAGTGCCTAGTATCTTCTAAAATCTTGCTAACTATACAAACACTTCAAAAGTTAAGTTGGACAAGAAAAACCTCAGTATTCAATAGTATTTAGACAGCTAGCATCCATTTGACATTTTTCAGCTCGTAAAGTTTCTTATAAATATTTTGTTTCATTTTTTTCCCGTAGTAGTATAGATATGATTGCAAGAAAATAATGTGACCTCACTAAACCTTTTTAGGTAAAACCCAAAGACCTCTTTTCCTATTTAGGATTGGATTGGAAATAGATAACTCTCAAAATTCAAGGTTTATTAAAGGTGGAGGAGGATGATTTTTCATTGTAAGAGGGAGTAAACATAAAGAAACTATCATGTCTGGGATGGGACAAATGCAAAAATATTCCTAGGTCTAAAATTCATCACTTTTCGGGAATATTTGATAATTATTTCATTTTCAATTTATTTTTTAGTCACAAAAAATAGTACTCTTATCACATTTATCATACTACATTTGTATCACCTTTCTAACAGAGATGAGATCCACAAACTGAATTCAAATGACAAATAACAAGGAATAATGATAAACTCAATATGAATTCACTAACTCGTTGAGTAGACAGTTGCTTGCAGATTGCAATGTCCTTGAAACAAATTTTCGCCTCTACTCAGTGTTTGTAGTTCATTAGGTGTCCGCTACACCAGGTTCAATTGTCTAAATCAAAATCCCAGCACTGGGACTTTGATTTCTGGCGAAAATCAATGTGGTTTTCAATAGGAAGACAA